CCTAGACAGTTGAGCAGCATTTCCATGTTACAAATGGGAATGGAGGTACAGAGAGATTCTATGACCTACCTAAAAGCCTAAGACAGCACAGAGAGGACTGGGCAAGAACCAGGATCTCCTAAGCCTCATACTGAGTCTTAATTGCAAAATTCTGTTGTGAAACTTTAGAGTTTGCTTTCATCAGTCCCCTGTATTGCAGGGTAGAGCAATTCACTTCTGTTCAGGACAGCATGAAGGGGACCAGAAGCCTCAGTTTCAGCAAAAAAATTATGAGAATACTTACAGAGGTATAAACCAGATCAAAATTAGTCAAGATAAAATGAAAATAGTAGGAATTCTGTATTGACATGTTTCAAATATCTGGTCAAAGATTAAAAAAAGCAATTGCATGCCTGAGAATCTATTCAAAGCATCTGAACCAGTACCAGGGTTTGATAATATGTAAGCAGTCATTACCTACTAATAAACTTTTTTGTTTTTAAGAACAAAGCTTTTCATTAATAGATGCCTAAAGGTAATGCCCTTAAAGTAGTATTATAAGTCAGGGCAGAACAGTCTACAATAGGAATTACTCCCAACAACAGATAAAAGGAAGGCAGGCAAGAATCTCCATGCCCAGGGATTCCCAGTAAAACTTCAATGCTTGCAAAGCTACTTCAGCATCTACACAAAGATTTCAAATCCAGAAACCAGATGGAAGCACTTCTGCCTTTAGGCAGAAGCCTCTTTGGGAATTATTAACAATTCCTGGTCTAATACTGTAGACCACATTTTAACAGAGATTGACATGTGGGCAGCTCTTAGTGATACAAGAAAGTCTTTGTGGTAACTGCAGCTATTGCTTGTAAAGTAGAATCAGGAAACTGTCCATTGCTAGGTGTTCCAGGAGCTGGAAAGGAAAAAAATGCCACTACCAAGAGACCAAATATGTCCTCACAGGTCCACTAAAGTTGAAACCACAGTTTGGAAAGTACTAGTCAAAGCTGAGTAAAACAGGATGTAGAGAAGATACACCCACATGACTGGGTGCACCTGTGGGCATTGATTAGATTTTGTCCCTTCAGAAAAAAACAAAGCCAAAACCCACCTGATAAAGACAGTTCAGACAAAGGTTCCTCTAATGAGGAATTAACATTGTTTCATTTTGTCCCTCAATCTGTCTCCATGATCCTCCATAGATTTACAATTTGAATAATAACATTCTTTCCGGATCACTCCACAAAGAACATGAATTGCATCTATGATAAAGAATAAATAACGTGCTCGGGAGATGGAGCTGTGTGGAGTAATTCCCAGATACTCCCCAGAGCAGAAGGCAAGAGGGAGGCTACCCTGGGGGAAGGGACAGATCATACTACCGCAGGTACAGCAAATGGAGAGGAGAGGTATAGCAACAATTCACCTGTAGGGCAAGGGGTGAAATTCCATTAGGAAAGAGAGAAATTGAGATAAGCAACAGATTTCCCCTGGAGGCAGGGATAAAAGCATGTTTTCTGTGAGGAAAAAAGAAAACAAAGATATAATGATAAAGGTTCAGTCTTTTTCCCCATGTAAACGGCGTCTCAGAAGGGCTCTAGCTGGGGAATCTGGAGATGGAGCTGCCACACCCCTTTCATTTCCACATATAAACCAAGATGAGGCAAACCAGGCCAAGTTCAATAGAAAGGAACCCTGCCGGGATGGTCTTACCTTCCCTGCTCTCTGCCTAGCCCGGCTCCAGGCTGCGCTCTGACATCAGTCAGGGTTGTCTAGCAGGCTCCAGAGGAAAGGGCCAGAGGATGGCCCTGAGTACTTCACCTCTGTTAAAGCAAGGTCTGGTCCAAAGCAGCAATCCAGAACCCACCTCAAGGAAATGAAGGCTTCTGTTGCCTGAGAATCTGAGAAGAGGAAAGAAGGAGAGACAGAAAGAATGAGGAAGAGGAAGGGAAAGAAAGGGACAAAGGAAAAAGAAAGAGAAAAGTCAGGAAGAGTGAAGGAGGGAGAAGGTCCCCCGAATGTTACATCTCCAGCTCTCTGGAATGGGTTTTCTTTAATGCTAACAACTTGATATTTACTTTCCATTTAAATTTGAGATGTTGCTATAAATTATCAACCAGCCTCTTGTTCCCTTTGAGTTTATAACTAACTACCTGGGTTACTTATTGTTCAGGTAACAAAAGGGAGGTGAAAACGCCCTTAAAAAGTGACCTCAGAACTAAGAAAATGGGAAGCTGGCATGGAGAGAGGACCCAGGCCCCTGTGGTTGAGATGACCCAGGGAGAGGGGCTATGCTCAGATGGCAAGAAGCAACTGACAGAAGCAGAGCAAGACTTAGGAAGAGGGAAATAACTGTGCAAGAAGAATTTGGAGACAGAGACTAGACCTTGGAGAAGAAGAGAGGAATGGGGACACAGCTTGCATCTGGGGAGCAAGGGAAGCTAAAAACCAGGAAACAGGCTTGGAGATAAAAAGAGAGCTTGAGCAAGGCAGACCCATTTCTGCAGTTCTGACTCACTGAAGCAATTGAGATTTTAGAGCAACTACAAGCAGGAGAACCAGCTTCAGGGTGAAATCCCACCCTCTGAGAGACAATGACAGTCTTACTGCCACTGAAAGAGTGAAGGTTTCAACTTATGTCTTAGTCAATCGTGAAGGCTCTGCAGGTGGAACTATGTACTTGGGCAATGGTTCATGCAAGGATTCAGCTGTCCAACTGCCATCACTTATGTGATGCAGCCTTAGGCCACATGGAATTGCTGCATTGATATTACAGCCTGTGCTTTGACAATGCACAGAGCAGCCAGGATTTCATACAACTGTCCTACGAAATCATACTGGGCTAAGACTCCCCAGCACTGTTTTGCCTCACAAAGCTCTCTGCTTTGTCTCAGAAGAATGCAGAAAAACCACAGGGCTTTAACCACTCTGAGAAGAGACTCACAGATACTTCCTACTTTATTCCTACCACAAAGAAGTGAGGATCTCAACGGGGAGGTCAAAAGTAACTCCTGAGTGGAGTGCAGGAAGGGAACAGACATGTAACACAGGTTTCCATCAGCGATAACATAGTCCTTCCTCTTTCCATCTGAGCCAGAAGTCAAATCTAAGAGACCAGAGGTTCCAAATCTGAGCCTTCTCTCCTTTGTATAAGAACTTATGTAATGAATTCAGGGTACAGGTGCTGGCTAGACTATCACAAACACAAAGGGAAGAAATTGGTCCTTGGTTTGGACAGCAGGAGAAGAAAAAAGTAAAAAGAAAAAAAACCCCACACTGAGGAAAGAAAAGGTTTTTTAAGGTCAGCCAATTTGAGGCTTTTGAAAGGCAAAGATGGTTAAGGGAAGAAGCCAGAAAATAGAAACTTCTATAGCAAACATCCCATTGTAAAAGAGAAACAAATGTTCCTATTTTTAAAAAAGCAGGTTCTTCAGAAAGCTGTAGCTGGCACTGCTTCTGTCACACTTTAACTGCAGCAGAGCTTGCTCCTTGGACTATCCAGCCACAGGGAGAGAGGCTGCAGGGGAACAGTGATAAGGGTGTTTGTACTGAGAGAACAGGTGTGGACTTTGTCCTCCTTATCACTTTGCAGCCTCTGGCAACCTCCTGAGTCAACAAAGCACTGAACAGTAGGGTTGTTGCCTGTTGCTCGGATCTGTGTGTTGTGACAGTTTCTGCACAACCCTAAGAAGGTTTTTTTCCCCTTATTCCTTTGATGCTGATGTATTCCTACACCATGCAAACCATTTCCACATTTCCACCAGACATTTCACATAAACACAGAAGGATGCTCTTTGTTAAAACTGAGCCAAAGGTTTTTCTGTAGAGAGGCTCCTGCACAGTTTGGATCTAGACTGCCTGGTTTTGCATCTTTCTATTTCTACTGTGATTTTCAGCTCTGGTGAAATCAATACGCACAAAGAAGTCAGAGTCATGTTTACTCTATTTTCCTTAGGAACTTTAATGGATATGCTAATGGCAGATCCTAAGAGATTCACATTCATTATGAAATCCTGAATCAGATTAGCTTCTCAGGTTTTGTGAGTGGGTCTCAAATAGGTCTATTCCCTCAGCTGTTACCCCAAAGGAGGGTGGTGATAGGAGGAATGAGTGGTTTGCCTGTTGTTCTTTATTGCAGTTAGAAGCTTTGAGTGGATCTAGATGTGAATCAGTGTGTTTGATTAACAGACAGCAGCTGTGCTAGAACATAATCCTGCATATGCATATATACACATACACAGCTGTCACGTCACAGCATAGTGGAAGCCTGTTTCCATTTCCTGAATCATTGCAAGGCAACCCAGCCTGGACCAGAACCAGGGTATGAGCTGGGTTCAGCCTAATATCACAATGACTCTATTCAGCACACCTACCTATCTAGGCCTTAAAGAAAGGGGGATAGAGAAAAGTTATGTA